GAGGGCTGCGGGGCTGCCAGAGGGATGTCTGACTGCCAGCTTAGGCCCAATCCCCCGGGGAGCGGGCCTAAGCCAGCAGGTGGTCAATTCCCGAGGGGTCCCCACTGCGAGAGGGCACAGGCCGGGCTGAGGGACCCTCCCGAGTGCACAAATTTTTGTGCACCGGGCCTCTAGTAAACATATAAAAGCTCATCACAAGTGGGGAATGACTTAAAGCAATAAAAAGCATTGCTACAGCCCTAGCAGGTTTGGCTCAGTGGATAGAGTGTGGGCCTGGGGACTAAAGGGTCCCGGGTTCGATTCCAGTCGGGGGCACATGCCAGGGTGTGGGCTCCATCCCCAGCAGGAGGCAGCTGGTCAATGATTCTCTCTCATCATTGATGTTTCTATTTCTCTCTCCCTTCCTCTCTGAAATCAATAAAGAAATGTATTAAGAGAAAGAAATACAAAACACTGCTCCATTTCTATGCTCGAGAAAACAGAGAACCAGACAGCGACAGGCCTGTGACCCCACCTTCTGCCCCCCCCCAGGGGAGGTGGGGTCTTCCTCGCAGCCCACCCAGTGGTCCTGCTTGGCCACTCCTGGGCAGAGCAGTGGCACTTGGGAATTTTCCCGGTGATGCCCGGGCCCTGTCCCTGCTCCCCAGACCCAGGCCTGGAGCTGACCACTCCCCCCCCCCACACACACACACAAGTGCAACTGCTGGCCCAGCACTGTGGGGGGCCGGTCCCAGGCTCCTCTCCGCAGCACCACGGACCTCCCGCCAAGAGACAGGACAGCACTGCCACCTCCTTAGAGACGAGGAGACGCTAGGTGCCCTGGTGAGGAGGGCTGCAGGGAGGGCATCCTGGTCCTCCTGCTCCTGGGGCTGCCTTGCACCGGTTCCCTCCCCCACCCCCGCGCTCCCGCCATCACTGTGGGCTCCTGGCTCCCTTCCTGGTCCGCCTCCCTGTCTTGGAGAGATTCCTAGAACCCTTCACGCGGGAGGCAGAGGCCGGAAAGCCGCCTCCTGGTACCCAGAGAAGGGACGGGAGGTATTGTTTCCTGGTGGCAGGGCTGCTCTCTCTGGCTGGGCGCCTGCTTTCTCAGGACGCTTCTATGCAGGCCACTCCAGTACAGAGCCCGGCGTCCTGGGGGCACGGGCTCCAGCGTGGCCGTCCGCTCCCAGGAAGGCCTGCTGGCTGCCATCCCCTGGAGCTGCTCTCCGCAGTGCAGCCTTTTCCTTCGGGACTTGGAATGTGGCTCACAGGTCTTTGTGTGATCATTTGATTAAACTGAAGTCACCCTCCCATGTTCTGTGTGAGGTGGAGATGCTTTAACATGTGCAATAACTGCTGACATGACTACAGGTGTGTCATAAAACATGATAATGACATATTAAACACACACACACACATACACACACACACACACACGTTCTGCTGCCAAGAGAGGGCTTGGGGGGATGAGAGTGGGTGCAGGGAGCCCAGACGAAGGGGGGTGGGGAGCAGCAGATGGATGTGAGCTAAAGAAAGGCTAAAGAAAGAGGCCTTTGTGAGGGCTGTGTGTGTGTGTGTGTGTGTGTGTGCACGCACAATTGTTGGAGGCGAGGCGGTGTCAGAATTCAACTTCAGTCTCTGGCTTGTGCAACTTGAAGAAAGATGAGGCAGGCCTGTGGGGGAAGTTCAAGTGTGTTTTCCACTGTTGCCATGAGAACCATTAGCTTCTTGCCCTTACGATAAGCTGGGCCTTCCATGTTTGAGGAACGGGAATGACAACAACAGGAGTTAATTTCATGCTCAGCCGCAGCAACCAACCAACCCCAGGCCAGGGGGGGGGGGGGGGGGGGGGGGACCAGGTTCTGCCAACCTCAGCTCCCTGGGCATCCCTTTCCTTGGTTCCGAATCGCCCGTGTTATGTTCATAGCCTTGTTGCAAACAATTGCACTTTTCATTAGCAATGACCGTTCCGCGCCTGTTTTCCTCCGAGCTCAGATCTCTATTCCGATCACCTCGAGGGGCGGGGGGATGTCCGCCTCGTCATGCACCTGAAACCACCCCACGGCTTATCCACCCACCGCCTGCGGACTCAGCCTGTGCGCCCGGCCAAGGGCGGCCGGACGCGCCTTATCTCAAGTTCTCAGGAGGCGCGTTTGGCAGCCTTCCTCTCACACAAGCCAGTTCTGTCCACGGATAAAGGTGCAGGATATGTTTTGGCTCTTTAACAACTAAGATGTGAATTAAAGCCGAGAGGTAGCGTTCTGCACACAATAAGCGCAGGAAACACTCGTCCCAGGCTGAGGGCACAGGACTCACAGCTGTTCTGGCTCTGAACCCGGCAGGGTGGCGCCACCCACACACCCGTGGCTGCGGGAACCCCGGTCACCTCCGTAGGTCACCTTCAGACACAGAAACCTGTTCTTTCTGTCACTGCGAGCTGACCGTGGTTATCCACGCAAAGAGACATACAAGGCCAGACACTGCTCAGTTCACCTTTTTCAAAAGAACTGATTTTAGAGAGAAAGAGAGAGGAAGGGAGGGAAGGGGCGAAGAGAGAGAGATTTTTTGTTCCACATATCTATGCATTCATTGGTTGATCCTGTATGTGCCCTTGACCAGAATCGAACCCGGGACCAGGCTAGGGCATTGCTTTTAACTTTTAAATAACAACTCAATGCTACAGTTGTCTTCCCTAACAGCAGGCTCAATGTGTGCATACCTCCTTCTCTCCTCAGCATCCAATTATCCATGAGTTATAAGATGTTAACACTTTCCCATACACCGTGCGCTCATTCTATGCACCCATCCGAGATTCTGCAAAGTCATATGATACTGTCTCTGTTCCTCTCTGAAATCAATAAAAATATATTGTTTTAAAAAAGAAATCCAGTGGAGATTAACCAAAGTACTTATATGTACAGACAATAATGTGATGAAGGCCTGGAAAGGGTGCAGGAGTGAGGTGAAGAGGGTCAATGGTGGGGAAGGAGGACATCTGTAATACTTTCAAGAATAAAGAATTTTTTTAAAAAAAGAAGAAAGTCCGGCCAAAGGCTGTGCCTCTAAGCCTCCTCTGAGAGCTCTGCTTACTTCCTTTCTAACTCGTTCCTGCTGCTTTGTAGCGATTTACAAATATTTCACGAAGCCGTTTCCCGCCCTGGACCGTGAGCGCCTCAGCAAGGGTTCTGTCCTTCTGCACATCCCTTCAGGGGCTTCTGTGTCCCTGCACCTGAATGACAGTGCTACCTCTACAAACTCACTGTCCTCTCCACGACCACCGATTTTTAAAAATGCAGCCGACTGTGCAGCCCAGAGCTCACACACCCAGTTCTCCACAAACCTTCCTACTGGTACGTATAGGACTTAGCACCCCAAACACCTGCCCCGAGGGGCTTGTGAGCATGAGCTGTTCCAGAAAAGCCAAACATCTGAGGCCACACCTCCTTTGTGTCCCCATCCTGCCTCATCTCTCTCTCTCTCTCTCTCTCTCTCTCTCTCTCTTTCTCTCTCTCACACACACACACACCCTTTCACACTGCTAGTGTACTGTCCGAAATGACCCCATTGTAGAACAGGAAGAATTTATTTCTATGAATATGATTTTAATAATATTCCTTAGGCATTCAGTGATCAAAATTTTCTCCAAATCAAATACACACACACACACACACACACACACACACACACACACACACAGTGTGTGTGTCCCCCAAAAATGTAGATACACTTAGCTGACGCTCAATTGATGTCTCTTTCTTTTCAGATTTAACCCATTGGAATTCATAATTATTCAAAGTGTGTATACATTTCTGGGGGACACACACTGTATATATACACACGTATATATAATTTTTTGAATCTCATTCTGTAATCTGGTTTTTAACTTGGAAGTGACCGAAGGAGTGAAGGATTCGAAGCCCAAGTACCCTGAGGAGCTTCCCGGCCACCATCGCAGCTTCTCACATGCATCAGGCCTGCTCCAGCTCCACCAGGACGCCCCCACAGTCCTTGGGGTGCAGGAAGATGACGGGTTTTCCGTGGGCCCCGATCTTGGCCTCATCACTTAGACTGCGGATCTTCTTCTCTTTCAAGTCCATCACAGCGGCATTGATGTCATCCACCTGGAGAGAAGGAAAGAAGCAAGAGCACATTTGAGATCATGGAAACACCGAATCACAGGATCCTGAGACTAGAAGAGCCCTCGGTTCATGGCTCTCTCCTCTGCCTTGAGGCAGAGCCTTTGTGAAACCACCACACATACCGGCTCCTGCTCCAGAGGGAAAAGAAGCTGCGAAATCTTCCTGGGTGAGCTACCACGGCGCCTAAGAATTTTCACCGTTTTCATCAAACCCTTGCTGCCTGGATGGGGTTTAGGGGAAGCACGGCTAGTTCCAGTCGACACCAGACCCACCTCCTAGGGGGCGGCCTGCAGAGGCCGGAAGCACTCGTGGCAGCATCCATGAATTTAAAATGGTCTATCTGGCCTGGCCGGTGTGGCTCAGTGGTCGAGCCCCAGGAACAGGGAGGTTAAGGTTCGTTTCCTGGTCAGGGCACGTGCCTGGGTTTTGGGCTTGGTCCCCAGTGGGTGCAGGAGGCAGCCAATTGATGATTCTCTCTCATCTCTCATCATCGATGTTTCTATCTCCCTCTTCCTTTCTCTGAAATCAGTAAGAATATATTTAAAACAAATAAATAATCTATGTGGCTTGTGTTATATTTCCAACGGGCAGCACTGGCAGTGATTGTAATCAAACCACATGTGGTCAGTGACAATTTCAAGGCCATCGCCCTGGAACAAACGATGCTTTTGGCAAGGGCATCTGTGGGGCTCGGCTTCTGAGGAAGATCAAGGTTTTTAAACCAGTTGATTGGAGGAAGCCCATCAGCCTGGGACAGCTCACTCTCAGACTGAGGCCTGAAAAATAAAACCTGTCTACCTGGTTAAGCCACTTGATTTTTTACGGAGAGCAGCGAACACTGATGGTGTCTCACATTAACTAAGGACTAACCCACCACCTTCCACAACTTCCCGTCGCCCACCTCCATTTTACACTGAACCACATCTTCATCCCCCCGCCAACCTCGACTCTCACATCCACCGCTACGTTACTGAGCTTGCACTGTCCCCACTTCACTGCACTTCTCACTCACACCAGCTTCCTTTGAAGCCTGGGCTCTGATGTAGGACCCAGACAGTGCGGTGTGGGACGGAGCAGTGGGTTCAAAGGCGGGGATCCTGCTTGTCGTCCTTGGGGGCCTCAGATAAACCCCAAGTCCACTGCAATACAGACCTGCAGCCAAAATCCACCTTCTAAGACAGGGAGAGCGGTGAACTACGAAGCCTTGCAAGTCCCCTGCCGAACATCTTATGGCTCCCCACCTCGGATTTTAAGTTCAGCTCATACAATGATGGCGCCGTCCAGCGGTGCCGACGCTGGAGTCAGAACAAATCTAGTTTGGACAAAACTAGTTAGCAGCCTTGCCACTCACTAGTCATGTGACTATGAGCAAGCTATTCTCAGTCGGCTTCCTCACCTGTTGATGGGGAGAACGGCGCCCTCCTGGGGTAGCTATAAGAAATACAGAAAACAATGCATGTGGCGTCCTGGGGGACTGGCAGTTAGTTGTTCTGATAACTCTGTGCCTTTCCACCTGCTACTCCCTCTGCCCAGGGCTTCCTCCCCTTGTGCCCTGGGGATCCCTTCACAGGGGCCTTCCCACCTCCTGGACCTGCCACAGCAACCAACCTGTCCTCACCTGTTAGTGAGGAGACGCGCGCATGAATTCTGCGTATCACAGGACAGACTGCCCGCTCCGGCTGCCCCTCCCACGGGGCACGGTCCCTGTCCCGTTCGCTGCTGAACCAAGTCCTCAGCAGCGCGCACACAGCAGGTTCTCAGATACCAGTATGTCTGCAATACGAACTGAGCCAATCCCTGGAATCAACGCGCCTCTCTTCCGGATTCGGAAAGAGGCCTACCTGTGACATTCCTCCTATCAGAAGAAACCAAACTGGAGTGTAACTGCTATTGTTGATATTCCAGCAGGAGCACCTGCTGAGGAAGGCTCCCAGGAGGAAGTGCCATGTTTTCTTCAGGAACTGCTGGCAGACACAATCGAGGAGATCTGGGAAAACCAGTCAGTCACTGAAAATGTGTTGCTTTTGTAATAAGAAAGAAGTTCGCAGTATCTTAAGGACAGGAAACAATTCCATGAATACTTAGCATGGACATGGGACCTCTTACTTCACCAGGTCTTTTCACTGCTTCTTCTAATTGCCTTCTGATAGCGAAAGCAGCTGTATTCCTGTTATATTGGAGGTCATATGTGATCAATAAATCATAGAGTGGAAACTCAAATCTGTTTTGGCCAACTTCGGTGACTTTTTAAAAAATATTTTTTTATTTATTTCAGAGAGGGAGGGAGGCAAAGGGGGAGAGAGAGAGAGAAACATCAATGATGGGAGCGAATCATCGAATGGCTGCCTCCTGCACGCCACCCACTGGGGATTGAGCCCACAACCTGGGCAGGTTCCCTGATTGGGAAGCGAACGGGGACCTCCTGGTTCATAGGCTGATGCTCAACCACCGAGACACACTGTCTGGGCTTCAGTGCCTTTTGTAGAAGCTGTTGAGTCCAGATTTGATAAACTATATTATTATTTGCAGTTTTCTAGAGGAAAAGAAAATATATCTACGGATCCATCTTTGAGTGGGACCAATGCTACTACTAATCCCCTTTAAAGAACTTCAGTCCCTGGCCAGTTTGGCTCAGTGGGTAGAGCGTCAGCCCGAGGACTGAGGGGTTCCAGATTCGATTCCGGTCAAGGGCATGTACCTCGGTTGCGGGCTCCATCCCCAGCCCTGGTCAGGGTGTGGGGTGTGGGAGGCAACCAATCGATGTGTCTCTCTCTTTCACATTGATATTTCTCTCTCGCTGTCTCTCCCCCTCCCTTCCACGCTCTCTAAAAATCAATGGAAAAATAGCCACAGGTGATTAGCAAAAAAAAAAAAAGAACTTCATACAAAATTTCTGATGACAGTGACCATATCAGTCTCAGGAAGCAAAAGACATTCTGTGGGAGAGAAACGTGAAACGCCAAGGCTTAAAGGAAACTGAATACCTCAATGCAGACGTGGTGCATGCCTCCGGCCTTGTTTTTCTGCAGAAACCCCGCGATCGGACTGTCCTTTCCCAGCGGGTGAAGCAGCTCCAGTTTGGTGTTCCCGAGATCGACGAAAACCACAGACACCCCGTGCTCAGGAAGAGGGGACACCTCACTGACCCGGGCCCCCAGAACGTCCCGATAAAACGCCCGGGCCTTTTCCAGGTCCGGCACGGCCACGGCCACATGATTGAGGCGCCCCAGGGCCCACACGGCAGCACCGGCCACAGGACGTGAGGACTGGGGGGTGGAAAAGGCTCTCACTGTTGGAACGGGAGCCTGCAGTCGTGAGAACAGCCCTGAAAAATGGAACCGGTTGTTGGTGTTACAGTCTGTAACAAGTTCATTAAAGCCCTGACCATACAGTACTTTTTAATGTGCATTTTATTGACATCCTCCCTTTGACATGAATGTGCTTCTAAAATTATGTTCTAAACTCAATGACTCACTCCATTCTGAAATAGCTGCCTGAAGTTAAAAAGCTAATTCGGAGCTATTTGATGTTAGATTCAGAGCAAGGAATGGTATCTTCCATAAGAGCTTACATTTATCGGTAGCACGTAGAGGGTAGCTGCCGTTATGAAGAATTACTTGCTATTCTCTGCACTTCACAACGGGTGAGCCTGAATGTGACAGTGAAATAACACACTTGCCGATGAGAACAATTTTGTTCCTGGTCTATGACCGGTTGTTGGTGTTACAGTCTGTAACAAGTTCATTAAAGCCCTGACCATACAGTACTTTTTAATGTGCATTTTATTTGAATGGCTGTCAACCAGCCAAAATGCCTCACTGTTGCGGGGAAAAGAAACAAAGATCTCCCGAACCAAGTTATCTCTACAAGCGAAGGGGCAGCTAGAGGAGTGTGGCAGGCGGATGTTTCTGTATTGTTTTTTGTTCTCTCTCTCTCTGTCTCTCTCTTCCACTCTAAGAAAATCAATGGAGCCCTAACCGGTTTGGCTCCGTGGATAGAGCGTCGGCCTGCGGACTGAAGGGTCCCGGGTTCGATTCC